ATGCTCATCTGTAATCTCAGAATGAGAGGGATAGGAAGGAGGATGATGAGTTCAAGGCTAACCTAGGCTACAGCACAAACAAAATGAATGGGAATGGAGCTCAATGGAGGGTGCTTGACTAGTATACATAAGATCTTGGGTTCAGACTTTAACACACACCCCGCCGCCCCGTTCCCCTATCTGTTTCTCTTATGGTAGAATAAGGATTTAAAAAAGTTCATTAGCAAATGCCTGGCACATTGACCTCTAATACATATTTTGCTATAAGAGGAGCATTACTCATCATTAACATTGTGGGTATGTTTACTTCTGCTAATTTTGATCATGCACTGGCCTTTATTTATTAATAGACTTACTACATTAATGAAAAAGGGCTTTTGCTTTGTAACATGAAATATAGGTATAATACCATGTGGCCACTGAAAATGTAAAACTGAGCTGAAATTTGGCCTCTGAACTGACACTGCCTTTCCTGGGATTTAGCTCTGTCTCTTATGACTCTGGTGGCTGTTGTTATGTCAGGAGAAGCCATGATCTTGCTGGGGAGGAGGATCCCCATTTCAATCCTAGAAAAAGAAGAAGAAAACATAAAATTTTATTGCTCAAGTCTAGAGCTGTCTCAGGCCTCTGCTCAGGAGATACTGTAGACCCCTTCCCTGGAATGTCCTGTGGGTTGTGCGTGATGGGCTTAGAGACTGTTTTCTCAGAGATGTCGTGCATCTTCCCAGCATGCTTTCAGGGATAGTGGGGAGAGTCTTCCTTTGCTCTGTTTGATGTTATACATTCTCTTCTGTGACCTTTCTTTGATGTTGTCTCAGGTGTGTGGCTCTTCGCTGATTCAAAATGAACTCACGGAAGCCAGAAGACTTGACTGTGTGGAAATGGTGTCACCCAGATATTGTCTTCTCTATCTTAGGGTTATTATAGGAATATTTCTCTCCTTCCCTCCCCCTCCCTCCCTCCCTCCTTCCCTCCCCGCCCCCCCCTTGTTTTCTTTCTTTCAGCAGTGTTTCTCTGTGTAACAACCTTGGCTGTCCTGGAACTTACTCTGTAGACCAGGCTGGTCTCGAATTCACAGAGATCCACCTGCCTCTGCCGCCTGAGTGCTGGGATGGTGCAGGAAAATTGTCTGTATTCTGTCAATCATGTTTTAAATAAACACTGATTGGCCAGGCAGGAGATGTAGGCGGGAAAACCAGACAGAAAATAGAAATGATGCAAGGAGAGCAGGAGAATTCTGGGGAGGAGGAAGTTGATTCCTCCCACTCCTGCCCAGACCACCGAAGCAGCAGGATGTGATCTGCCCACTGAAAAAGGTACTGAGCCACATGGCTAACATAGATCAGAAAAATGGATTAATCAAGATGTGAGAGTTAGCCAGTGAGAGGCTAGAGCTAATGGGCCCATCAGCTTATAATTTATGGAGACCTCTGTGTGATTTTTCTCTGGGACTAAACAGCTGGGGGGCCGGGCACGACAGAAAACTCAAACAAGCAGGCCCATTCATACTACACTGGGATTAAAAACATGTTCCACCACCGCCCAGTGGTCATTACCGTTACTATTAGGGAGGGCCATGTATCTCATTTGGCTTAAGGGTTGGAGCAACTGAAACATTTATTGGCTGGTGTAAGAACTTGGGGTCTGGAACGGGTGTGGAGCAAAGGATCTGAGAATGTCATCAGACAAGGTAGGGGAGATGTTTAGATTGACTGGGCATGCTGGTATGGCATTCTGCAGATAAGAAGAGGTCTGAGGTTGCACAGAGGATCCAAGTCGAGATTGGCCTTATTTTGTAACAATATGCTCTCATTCATTTAGCTAATTTCTTGTGCTTTTGCAGTTGTAGGCTAAGGGTGTGTGTGTGTGTGTGTGTGTGTGTGTGTGTGTGTGTGTGTGTGTAGAGGTGTGAGTAGGGTAGGCATAGAAGAATGAGAACAACTTGCATAGTTGCAGTCTTTAGTTCTTTTGGCAGTTAGGCTGATGGGAAAGGTTGGTATCCTAAGCCCAGGTAGTGCCTTAGGGTAGAGTTGTCTGTTTTCTCATTGCATATTTAAGCAACAATAATACCAAGAAAGAGTCTGTGCTTCATGACCTTTTCTTAACTGTGCAGAGGGGAATGAGAGATGTAGGAGGAAAGGAGACAGAGGTGTCTCACTCAGGTCATCACTACTGGGGAGATAGTGGATATTGTTTGGAGACTTGGAAGCCTCATCTACAGCTTTGAGATGAAGGCTCAAGAGAACATCTGAAAGCATGGACCTCACACCCCAGAGTCCTTGCAGAGTGTGTGTGTGCGTGGACCTGGGAGAACTGTGTCTTGAGTTCTGCTGACAGGTGAATGAACCTTTCCAGCCATTTGGAGGCAGCTGGAGCAGTGAATTAGTACAGTGGTGTTGTGGGAGTAACTTCCGCTGCCTCAACCAATAGTCACTAAAATATGAGCCCACAGTGCAACGGGGAGCGACTTCCGCTCCGTCAGCCAATAGCTGCTAAAATACCAGCCCACTGGGGCGTGGTATATTTCTCTTTTAAAAAGAGAAGCATATCCGGAATAGGCTCTCTTGGTTCCGGCTCTTGGTTCCGGTGCTCGGTCTCAGCTGCTGCTCCCGGCTCCTGCTCCAGCGACTAGGCTCCCTTCCTGACGGTTTATGGTGTATGTAAGTTTTACCCCCCCGCCAAATAAATAACCCCTTAAAACATAACTGGTATGGGATTGATTCGTTAATAATTGGCGCCAGGAATCCAAAAAAAAAAAAAAGAGGGATAATTGGATTATGGGATAATAGCTTTGTACTTGTGAGTTATTGTTTTTAGACAAATATATTGGTATTGATTCTTATATATTGATACAAACTTAAATTATGTTGACTATTTTAGGCATGCATGCTTCTACCTCTGTTTAAAATATTTTTATGTATTGACATATATATATTGTATTGATATATGTATATTTTACCATATTGCATTGTACACTTCTACCTCTGATTAAGATACTTATATATTGTTTATGTATTGATATATATATTTACCATATTGCAATGTATACTTGCACATTGTTTATACTTGGAGGTCATATTGTCCCCATTTATTGCACAGTTGTTTACTATTTCAGTCTTTAAGTTAAATAGATATTGAAAATAATATAGATCAATAGTCATCTAAGTTTGTCATTTATAATTAGACTAATCAGGTTCTTTAGATACATAGACATTATATTCAGTATAGATAGATAATCTTCAACCTCTTCAAAGAGCTGTAGAAAATGGCCTTTAATCTAACTCAGAGTTCTATGGTAGGGAGACACAATCGCTCCTGGCAACACTGATCTATTCCCGAGAGAATGTTGAGCACCAAAGACACTCCACCTGGAGCCTTTCTTCTTGGCAGAACTGGCCTTTGGGTAAAGAAATGCCCATACCTCAACTACTGACAGAGTTACAGAGTATCCATAAATGGATAAAACAGGACTGTCATATCCTGCCAAGACAGGATAAGATAGTTTTAAAAAGTTCCTTGCCTTTGAAAATGGTATGTCAGTTACGTTAGGCCTTAGCCAAAGTTGGTTGCTTCAACGCTGCAAACATAATTTTGGGTGTTTGCCCAGGTAGCCAATTGTCTATGTGATTTGTTACATGTTCTGGAAGTTTGATTACACTTCCTAATTACTCAGGTAACATTATTTCCCTTCTCAGATCTTTGATGGGATTAAAGATTATATAAACATAGTTACTTTCTTTTCATGACCTGGCCAAGTTATTTCTTATACAAGACTTAAGCTAGTTAGAATAGGATATTTGTATTTATTGTATATAATTGTGTAGGTTTGTACTTGCTGTATATAATTTCGTAGTAGGCTTAGAACTCTCTTACTTAAACAAAAGGGGGAGGTGTTGTGGGAGTAACTTCCGCTGCCTCAACCAATAGTCACTAAAATACGAGCCCACAGTGCAACGGGGAGCGACTTCCGCTCCGTCAGCCAATAGCTGCTAAAATACCAGCCCACTGGGGCGTGGTATATTTCTCTTTTAAAAAGAGAAGCATATCCGGAATAGGCTCTCTTGGTTCCGGCTCTTGGTTCCGGTGCTCGGTCTCGGCTGCTGCTCCCGGCTCCTGCTCCAGCGACTAGGCTCCCTTCCTGACGGTTTATGGTGTATGTAAGTTTTACCCCCCGCCAAATAAATAACCCCTTAAAACATAACTGGTATGGGATTGATTCGTTAATACAGTGGTGTCAGAGCAGTAGGTTGGTTCTCTAGATGTTCACTGATCTCCTTTACTTGCATACCACTGTCTTGAGAATGTTGTCCCCTCTGATGTTTCTGCTTCTGCTGTCCACTGAAGACCAGGGAAGTCAGTGGCCCTTGCTGATTCGTATATCAGCAGGTTTTGGATCAGGACTCCAGAGTTCATGGCTTACATAATTGTGTCACAGGGCAGCATGTGTCTGGATGCCAGCATACCAACCTCCTCTTTCTCCTTTTTTTTTTAACATTTAAATAATTTATTTCTTTGTGTGTATGTATTCTATCTGCATATATGTGTACTACCTGTATGCCTGGTGCTAGTAGAGGCCAGAAGAGGGTGTCAGATCCCATGGAACTGAACTTACGGATAGCCATGGGCTACCATATGGATGTAGGGGCAACCAGAGCTCAACACTGAGATAGTTCTCCAGCCCTTTCCCCAGCCTTACTTCTTATCTTGAAAATGGAGACAGTAAGAGAAGCAAATGTTTATCTGAGTCATGTACATTATCATAACAATCTAAGCTCTGAGGTTAGTTGTCATTTTGTTGGTTTAAAATGTTTTCTAAAATTTATAAAAAATTTACACTTATTAAGTATTCTTTATTAAAGAATGTACCATCTTAACCATTCTTAATTGTGCAATTAAGAAGTGATAAATAATTTACACTGCTGTGTACCCAATTTCAAGAAATCTCTCTATCATGTAGTATTGAAATGTCATGCTCATTAAACATTCTGTCCTTTCTCCAGCCTCTGGAAATCACCATTCCCTGTGATTTGACTACTGGAAGTGTCTCATATGAGTGAGGTCAGTTAATATGTGTCCTTTGGTAATTGGCTGATTTAACTTAGTATAATGTCCTGTAGATTAATTCATATGGTATTGTGTGACAGGTTTTCCATCCTTTTAAAGCTTGAATATATTCTGTTATAAGCATAATACAGGTTTATTTACTTTCCATTCATTGATATGTTTTTGAGGAAACATTTAGCATGGTGGTTTCTCTCTTCTGTCTGTATTTTATATATTTTGCAAGTGAGTATAAACCAAGTTGCTGTGAAATACCAGTGTATTTGACATTTGACTTATTTTATTTTGAAGGCTTTTCTAGATCTAAGAGTCAAGAACAAGTTTGATATGCAAAGAATGATACTTTCGTGTATGTGTGTGTACCTAAGTGTATATATGTGCATTACATACATGTAAGAGTCTGCAGAGACCAGAAGAGGAATCAGATCCCTTAGAGCTGGAGTTATAGGTGGTCGTGAGCAGTTTGCTGTAGGTGCTGGGAATTGAACCTGACTTGTCTGTAAAAATAGCAGGAGCTCTTAAACACTGAGCCAACTGTCCAGCCCTAGGGAGGATACTTTGTAAAGAGACCACTGAAGAAAATTTTAGAAATGTTGATTGAGGATCTTACAGAATCTTTTCGATATCTGGCTTCCAGTATCTTTTCTCTTGGGTTTCTCCTGGGCTTTACTGTTGGGTCTGTGGGTCCCCTGGACTTGCCAGTGTGTGTGTATGTATCAGGGCTTAAAGCATTTGATCTTCCTGTTTCTTAGCTTTCCATCACTGCGACAAAATATGTAAGACGACTACTTTATGGTGAAGAAAAACCCGTGGTTATTTAACATGGTGCTTCTTGTCTCTGTGTTCATGTAGCACATTACAATAGGAATACAGGGTGGAATAACAGTTAACCTCATGACAACTAGAAGTCAAAAGTGAGAGACTACAGGGCTCTGGGGCCAGGGCCAGAGCCTGGGCCACTGTTTCAACATCCCAAGTTCGATGTCATGTCTCAGATGACCTAACTTTATTATATTAGGTCCTAAGTCCTAAATGTTCCACTCTCTTTTGTCAGCACCCATAGGCTGAAGGCCATAGCTTTAACACTTGAGTCATTGGTTGATTCCATATCTAACCTATGGTATGAAGTCCAGGACATTCCTTCACTGCCCTGAAGTCAGTTTGTCACCTGCAGAATGAAGGTCTGGACACCTTTTGGTTTCCAAACCTAGAGGTTTCCGATGCCTTAGGAGTCTGGTCCTGCATGAGCTGTCCCAGGTTAAGGATACTAATGTGGCGCCTATGAAGCCTGAGTGGCTATGAACCTTTAAGCAAGGCAGTTTTTCGGAGTCCTACTAACACAACTTCCAGAAGTCTTCTGGAGATTCTCTTTTTACTACTAGAGGCCACAGTAGGAGGTGAAGGCTTTAGCTTATATTGTGATTTATGCCCACTGTTTTCCGGCCAAAGGCTCCTGAGGCACCGTTCTCAAAACAGCAAACACCGTTATCCAGCATCAGTATTGTGGTCCCAATCTAGGTATAAGTTTACAAAGACAGCTCTCTGGAGCTGGCATGCTTCATCAAGCCAAGGACCTGACAAATAGATACTTCTTTGCGACCAAGGCAAGATCTGCTGTGTGATTGGCCAGAGTTCCCTTCCTACCCGATTGATCATCAATTTCTATTTAAAATAAGTGCTTTGTTTGTCTGGGGGAGTTCTAAGTCCTAATGGCTGACACTTACTTCTAAATCACTCTGTGAAAGATTTAAGTAAGCATTTCTTTTTCATCTTTTCCCCGATGCACATTAAATTCAGTTTCCCATGCTTCTGACCACATGATTTCTTGCAACTGTGTGTCCAGTAGGGATATTTATTGCTTGCATCTTTTGAATTCCAGTCTTTTGAGGTCTCCTCACTATTTGGGTATCAAAAGCTCATAATATATTTTCTGCTGCCCTTGAGGAACCCATTGCTTCTTTTGGTAGCACAGCCAGATTGGAAAAAAGGGCATATGTGACCCATGCAGGGAGCTTCCAGTGGTCTCTCTTCTCTTTCTGCCCTCTGAACCTGACTTTAAGATGTGACTTTAACTTTTTTTTCTGCATGCTTTTGGCAAAACAAAAATTGGAGGATGCAAGCAAAACAGAAAGATAGTGACATATGGGCCTATTTGACAGCTAGTATTAAAGGGACCTTGTCCCGTTCCCCCCCCCCACCTCAATCTGCGTTAAGGAAAAAAAAATTATGGGCTGTGGGGATGGCTCAGTCAGTGCAGTATTTGCCCTTGTACAAGCTTGAGGTTCAGGATCACCAGCACTCACATAGAAGATGTGCATGGTGATGTGTGTATATGACTGTTGTGCTGGCTGGGGTGTGGTGGGGTGGCAGAGACATGGTGATTTTTAGAGGTTGCTGGATAGCCAGTCAGCGAGATCTGGACTCACTGAAAGATCTTTTCCCAAAAAGAATATGTTGGAGGGGTTGGAGAAATGGCTCAGAGGTTAAGAGCATTGCCTGCTCTTCCAAAGGTCCTGAGTTCAATTTCCAGCAACCACATGGTGGCTCACAACCATCTGTAATAAGGTTTGGTGCCCTCTTCTGGACTTCAGGCATAAATACAGACAGAATATTGTATACATAGTAAATAAATATTAAAAAAATATGTTGGAGAGAGATCGAAGATGACCCTGGGCATCCAAGTCTGGCCTCCACATTAAAGTCTGGTACCCACATAAAAGAAATGCAGCCCTGAGAAGAACACTTGGTTAGCATCCACAAGTTCCTGGGTTTGATCCTTAATACCACAAAAGCAAGCAAAACACCAAAAGCAAATTGAAACACATAAGTCCTTTGTGCAGCCTATATTGTGCCAGGTAAAGTGTGAAGTGTTCTCAAATCTGTTTTCTAAAATCCACACAGAAACCTTTGTAAGTCACCATTGTTCAGCTATGTGAGAGAGCTTTCCTGCTTTCCCTGGACTGAAAGTAGAAATACTAGCCTGCTCCAAGCTCACAGCTCAGTTCTGTTCCTACCATGACTGGTTTCTTTACAGAACCTGGAAGTGGGTCCACTGTACAACTTTCTCTCTGTGCCTGGTATTGTTTGCTGACATCTAGTGCATTGATTATTCTATTAGTTAACTTCTCAGAGCTGGGGAGATCACCAAGTTTTCTCTCATCCTCTAAATTTGAACTCAGTCCCTGAGGGGAAAGTGACCCCTTAGACTTGTCTCCCAACTCATTCAATTGGAAACAGTTTTTTCTCTTTTTTCTGGAGGGATATGTAGCTATCTCAGAGGTAAATATTTCCAGAAGTGCTTGTACCCCCAAGAGGTGCATCCACTTCTACTCTTTAGTCAATCTTGTCTTTGGAACCCTCTGAGATGTTTTCTTTGTGAGCCTGGCTCTATTCAACAAGGTGGAGGCCATTCCTTATACCTTATACATCCTTCTCCATTGGTGCTAGTATAGGCTGATGCCCTGCCTTGGCAAGCAGTGCTGATGTGATAGTGTGGGGCTACTTCTCATCATGCTGATGCTCAGCTCTGACTTGTTGTGTGTGTCTCTTAATCTTTTATGTACTGCAAATTCCTGTCAGCAAGGAGAGAGATGGCTGTAATGCTTAATGGTATTAGTTACTACACAGACTCAATGAGTAAAAATATGCAGTGAGGTCATGTGTTTTTGCTTTATTCACAGTTATATTCCAAGATGGGTCTGCAACAAATAGTCATTGACTAAGTAAGGAATCTCCTCTTGTCCTACCTTGAAAAGTGACATGCTCGTGCGACTCTCAGGAACTGACTCTCAGGATCAGGGTTGTCCAGAGAATGTAATTAGTATAGTGTTTATCTGTAAGAGAGAACTTACTAGGTAACTTGCTTTCATTCTCACAGAGGGTGTAAGGTACCACAGTCACTGTCTTGTGCAAACTGGTAGCTGACTCAGTCCAGTAGCTGGGAGACTCAGGGCTCCAGGTCAGGGTGTAAGTTCTAAAGTCCAGGGGTATCAAACCTGGAGCCTGGTGTCCAAGGACTACATCAAAATGCATCCAGAAAGATGGTTCAGAAGCCAATCACCCTCCTTCCACTTACTTGCTACATCTAGCCTGACATTTCTGACCAGTGCTGTCCACTCTGAGGGTAGGTCTTCTCCTTCACTTTACTGACCCACATACTAGTCTAATAGAATTATCAAAGGTAATACTTTGCTAGTTCTTTTTTCATTCTTCAGTGTAGTCAAGTCGACACCACCACTTGTTAACATAGAATTCTTCCCCACCTGAGACTGAATTTAATACTGACTCATTAGCATGTGTTCTGAAATGGTGTGAACTTGACAGTAGTCTGGGTGAAGAGCAATGGACTCTTCAGACTTTAAAATCTCTGGTTTGATAAATGAGGAAAACAGAGAATGTTATGACCAGGAAACAGGGTTCTATCAGTGTACTACTTTACCCACCCTCCCAGGCCAGTTTGAGTGCTTCCTTGTCTAGAAAGACCTCTGAGGCTCTTTGGCTAGAAATCATTGTCTTCCCAGAATGTCTCCTATATTCCAGCCTTTCTGCTTTTATAATCCCAGGACCAGCCAGGTCAGCCAGACCAGCTGGACCAGCCATAAACTTGCAGAGGGGTAGAGTACTACCTGATTCAATGTGGTGCCCCATAGTACCTTCTCCAGAGTCTTAGATCTAGTTAACTCATCATATTTTTAGATATATCCCCAGTTAATTTATGAATGACTTTCTAAAGTCTTTGGTTTTATAAGTACCACTGTCTCTCCCAAGATACTTCTTTCCTTTTCAGACTAGAACTGTAGCTCATTTTTATTAGATTGCTTTTTTTTTTTTAACCCACATACTCGAGGGAGAAAAGCTCTTTACTTTTCCTTTGTAATTAGCCTTGATGATGACTATGTTTTTCATTATGTTTTATTTTTGCTTTCCTGGAATTTATCAAGTGACCTCTTTTCTGCAAAGGTTGTCCTTCAAGAGAGCAAGAGAATTTGATTAGAACA